GGGGGGGGGGGTGCAAACCAGGCCGTGCAGGGGCAGAAACGGGGCTTGAGCCCCGGGGGAGGGGCCTGCCCACCTTCTCCCAGGGCTGCGGGTAGTTCTCCCGGATGTAATGGACGCTCGCGTTGAGGAAGGGCGTCCAGTGGGTGCGCTCGGACACGTCGTGGAACCGCCCTGAGGGAACAAGCAGCGCTCAGGTCCTTCCCCAGGAGGCGGAGGCTCCCCGTCAAACCCTCTGGAGCCCCGCGCGGCGTCCCTCCCTCCACCGTCCTCCCAGCCTCGCGGTTCCCTCTGGGGATCCACAGGAAGCCTCTAGAAGGAAGAGCCGGGAAAGACAAGGGACCCCAAGCTCGCGGAAAACGCAACTCTGTGAACGAAGTCGGGGACCAACGAGAGTGGGAAACGCAAGGCCCTGTGTGCTTTTCGTTCTCAATCCTTACGGAAGGATATTTCCTCCACTGACCTTTAGAGAGAGTGGGAGGGAGGTCGGGGGAGAGAGAAACATCACCGGGTTGCCTCCAGCACGCACCCCGCCCGGAGGCTGGGCATCAAACCTGCAACCTGGGTACGTGCCCCTGACCACAGTCGAACCCGAGACCTCACGGTGCTCGGGCCGCGCTCTAACCCTGAGCCACGCAGGCCAGGGCCGCTGGACGCCCTTCAAGCAGAGCGGGCCTCCTGACCAGGTGGACGGGCCGCCGGGTCTGCGGCGGGCGCCTCACCTCTTTCGCAGATGCTGGGGTAGAAGGCGTCGGGAAACACGGCTCCCGCCTGGTATGCGTCCTGGTGCTCCAGCAGCAGCTGCGGGCGGGAGACACGGGTCAGGGCCAGCTGGCGACTGGCCGGCGCGCAGGACGCAGTGCAAACAGCACGGACACGCACACGCGTGTCGCTCGGCCACAGAGACCCGTTTACAGCTGCTCCCTGCGCTTCAGAGGAAGGCCGTCCTTTGTGCTTTGAGAGGGTTAAGGAAACATGCTTCCCTCTTACGAAGGGATTACGCAAAAAAATAGTAATTATATATATGTGTGTGTGTGTGTCTCACATAGACACAGGCAAGTGTGGTGATGGCAGGGGGGGGACAAAGGGGTGGCAGGGGTGAAAGGACACTTGCCTCGGACGGCGGGTGCACCGTGCAGGGTGCAGATGGTGCTTTACTGAGCTGCACGCTTGAAACCCGTGTGATCTTCACCAGCGCCACCCCGATAAAATCAATTAATAAAATAAAAAGGAAACCCGCCTCAACAAGCATGCAACAAGCGTGACATCACTGACGTTCTACCATATTTCTGCCAAAAAAAAATACCTGCAGCAGAATCTAATCATGAGAAACCAGCCGAAAAAAATCAAAATTAAGTGTTAGAGTCAGGGGCTGTCCTCCAAAGTGTCAGGTCACTAAGGACGAGGGAGGCCCGAGGTCTGCCCGGGTTGGAGGAGCTCGGAGGGAGCCGACAGCCGAGCAGGGCCCGAGCCAGGTCCTGGCGCCCCGGGCGGCTGGATCGAGGCTGGACCGAGGCCCGAGGCGGGGCGGCCACGTTGGTTCGGCCTTGGTTTCCTGAATGGGATGATTCCGCTGCGGTGAGGTCGCAGTGCCCTCGTTTTTGGGAATTACACAACCGTGTGTTAAACAATAATCGGGACCACGTCAGGGAAAACCGACGTGTAGAGCGGGGTCGAGAGGCAGCGAGGCGCTGTCAGCAACTGGGGGACAGGGCAAAGGGCACAGGGATTATCTGTCTAGTTCAGCTATCGGTTTTAAATGATTTAAAAATAAAAACTATAAAATAAGGAATTGGCTGAATAAATTACGGTGCCTTTCAGGTAACAAGAAAATATGCAATTGTTAAAAATTATTCTGAAGATCCCTAGTGACATGGAAAGGTATCTGATGTATTAAATGCAAAAAGCCAGTCACAGAATAGTGTGTAGAATGTAACCATTTTTTGGGGAAAAGAAACAACAAATAAAAAAACATGCTAATAAATGCAGAAAATGCCTGGAAATATAAAAAGCAAAATTCTAACATTGGTTATCCCTGAATTTTTTTCTTACACTGAGTTATCATTTCATAATCAGGGAGCATGAAACCTGCTCCCTG